TAGCAGTAGCAGTAGCAGCAGCAGGACAAGGAGGAGGAGGAGGGAGTAGCTACAATACTGATAACAAGAACAGGAATAATAGTAATAATATTAGTAGTAACAAGCATAATAATCATCATAATCGTCCATTCTCAGTCATTGTCATGTTCATGCAATCTCAGACATCATCTAACTCGAGCCGCCAGACTGAAAATATTGGTAACGCACGCACATTTACAGAGCAACCAGGCAAGACAGCAGCTGTGAGGCCGACTATGCTTTTGAGTAATGAAATGAAATCAGCTGCTCTCCAGCTTCGCCTAGCCATGGCTTCAAGGGAAGCTTGCGCACAGCCTAGCGATATGTATTAATTCATATCCGTTCTGATGGCTCCTCACTTCTCTGGTGGTGGCAAAACTCAGTAGACATCGGTGCCTTGGCAGCTTCACTTTCCTGTGCGGCGAGCTCCGCCGCTGCGGCAGCATGACCCTCAATCTCCTGCAAGTGCAAAAATCCTGGGAATTCAGCATTTAGTGCCACTCAGTTGGAGCGCCGGGCTATAAACACAATGATATCGAACAACATAAAGCGTCGTGACATGTGTGAAAGAAGAACAAGAGTCGGACCAGCGTAACATGACCATAGGAAATCGGTGCTGATAGTGACAAGACCGACCACACTTGAAGCAAAGGGCCGAAAGACTGTTCCTACTTGGAGGATCATGGGACTTAGTAGCATGGTTATATGTACCCTAATTGGGGATGTAATTATAGTTACCTTATTTATAACCCTAGTTACTAAGTCCCATGATCCTCCGAGTAGGCCTAGGCTGCGATCTGCGCTGTGGGAGCGTCCTTTCCCAAGACCTCTGCGTCCGTGGCGGCCTTACCGATGTCGGCGGTCAGAACCTGAAGCTGCGTCTCTTGAGAATGACGGCCATCAGAAAGACGACAAAGACTGAACTAAACAAACAGGATGATGACAATGACTGTCACGATACAAAAGAGAAGGAGAAGGAGATGGTGATGATGATGGTGGCGGTGGTCCGCAAGATAGTGCTGACCATGACGATGGTGGAATATGGTGCCACCAGCTACCTCTGACCCCCGCTGCTGCCGCCAGGAAGTGGCCCCTGCTACGACCAGCCCTCGATCTTTATCCTAGGCTCGCTGAAAGCTTAGGGAGCGCCTTGCGCAAGGCTGCTGATACCCGCGGAACGCACAATCAGGTGGTCAACACTCTAAACCCTTACTGTCCCTGTAGAGCACCCTTCCACTCAAAAACACCTTAAAGAAACCTTGAAGTAACCCTTACAAAAAAGGCAAGAAGCTCATCCCAACAGAAACAAAAAAGAGACCGAGCAACCTCGATCTTCGAGTCTGACGCCTCGATCGCCTTGCGGGCTTTAGAGTTTTTAGGGTTCAGGGTTTTTTTTTTTTTTAAGGGCCTTTT